ATCCACTGTGAGCAGATAGCCAGCTTTCTTTGGCCTTTTCAAAAGAGATGAACAAAACTTGTAGCTTGCTTGTAGCAAACAGCCACCTTTTTGTGTGGGAGAAGATGGCTTTTGACTGACTGACACGGCAGGTGCCACGGGAGCCGAGACAATTCTGCATTTCAACCGATTGTTGTCACTACCAAAGCCTATTATCTAGGGTAATAAAGTTTAAGATTAAGGGGATTCTGCATGTTTGTGTTATTCCCCACAAAGCTTATCTTCTAATAGACCAGCTGCTTTATTGCACTTCGCCCACCCCTTCTCATTGTACGGAGAAGCCGCGTGCACAAATGGGAATGCACTGAGGCAGGCCTTGGCTACCAGCTGGGAATATCGTATCGCCCCCAGCCTCCATCTGGGGGTATTAAGTTACCATCAGTTGCCAGCTGGGAACATCGTGTCTTGCACCTCACCCAGCAAAGCACATCGCATTGCTCTCGGCTCCTGCTGAGGTCAGAACCAGGTTGCATTCCCACTCTTCCTCTCTGGGACTTGGGTGCTCAGCATGCAGCATTTCTTGCTCTGCTGGCCTGCAGTGAGCGTGCCCGCTTCCTGCTGGAGATGCAAGTGTTCAGATGAAGAAGTCTTCTCATTCTTTTCTCTGGCATGTGCCCTTGGAAAAAAATGTCAAATTTCTGTATCAGCAAGTATTCAGATGAAACTGCCAGTCGTTCATCACTCCGAGAATGTATGCGTTTCTTTCCCTCAAGTCTTAAATCTTGCATTCTCTGAAGGCCACAACATTAAAATAGTATTGCCACATGTCTTATACCAAACAGGCAATTAGCTAACCTCAGGTTGGGTTGCAGTGGGATACTCTGTGCATCTCCCTCACTTCTATTTTTTTTCCTCTCTGGATATACCCAAATGCACTGTAAGAAACAGCATCTGCTAGTGTAACACCTTGCCTTCCTCATAGTGCCCAGGAGATCATTAAAATAATGTTAGCATTTCACTTCCAGTCCAGAGATCTCTCAGTATTTGAAAGGGACATAAACTGGAAGAGCAGGCCAACAGGAGCCTCCTGAAATTCAGCAAGTACATGTGCAAAGCTTTGAGCCTAGAAGGAACTTCTAGGACTCTGACTCTGGAAGCAGGTGTGGGGAGCACCGGGTGGAAGAAAATGTGGGGACTTGTGAGAGACTTCCAGCACAAGATGGGAGGAAGTGAGGATGGCTGACATGATCCAGGGCTGCAGCACCTGCCTTGAGTGGAGAAGCTGCTCTTGTTGGAACTGGAGAAGAGGCAGATGTGATGGAATCTAGCAGCAGCTCCCCAAGAAATCAAATAAGTGGTGCCTGGCTGTTCAAAGGGGTGCACGGTGGAAGGACAAGAACTGTCTTAAATTGAAATCTGAGTGGTTCTGAGTGGCAGAAAAAAAGTCTTTTTCACCACGAAAACAGGGTAGTGGTACAAGTTACTCAGAGATGTTGTACATTTCCATTTTTGGAGACTGTCAAGATCCAGCTGAATAGAGCAGCTGTACAGCAGTAGGTGCCTTTGCTTTTGCATGGGTAAGGCAATGGATTTCTACTGGCAGCTCCATTGCCTGCTTTCCACTTGCAACTCTGCGCCCTCTCACACTGGCTGCCAAGGCTGTGCTTCCCAGCCTGCCTATGGCAGTGTTTATTGCTTGTTCCCATACTCCTGTTCTTATCCTACTGTGCTCATGGCAAAGCCCAATATTGCTGTCGTAGCTGCTTCTCATGGGCTGTGATTGCCACTAGCATGAGCATCACTCCTTTCCCACCTTTTCTCCTACTTTTCTCATTCGGTTGTAGCTTTAGGATTACTTTGAGAGCTCAAATAATACACAGACATGAAGCCAGCAAGGAATTTGAGTAGGTATGGATGAAAACTTTGAGGCACAAAAAGGCCTTAACAGCCCCCAATTGTAACATATGGGGAGGAATACTATAGCCTGTCAGTGTCTGTTGTACATCTCAAGGCATTCAGTATCAGCTCTTCTGATACTTTATAGTTTCAAAATGAAGACTAGGGATGACATGTTTGGTCTTTGGGGATAATATTACCTTTAATTAACAGGTAAGACTACCTCTAATTTAGAAACTGCAGCATCTTTGGGATTGAGTCACAGTGTATGGATAAACTGGAGTTTCAGAACAGCTTCAGACATCACTTATTTCTGTCCCTGATTCAGACACACTTTCTTGATACTGGCTCAAGAAAATAAGCACTTTAGGGGACAAGTTGGAGGAAGGGGGAGTAATGGTGAGACGATTCTTGTATTTTTTTTGATACCTATTAATATTACCTTGGTCACAAAATGCAGACCTAGGCTTCAGAGTAAGGTAGATCTTAGCAGCAAAATGCATAACACTTACAAGCTAGGAGGCCCTGTGAGTGTCATTTGTTGGGAAAAAGGGAAGAAAGAGTGGCAGTTGTGAGCCAAAGTGACTCTGCATGGTCTGGAGGACTTGGGTTCTTTTATTCTGAGACATCTGCATCAGTAATACTCTATTAAACATAGATAATAAGGTACGCCACCCTCAAAACTCAGAGACACAGATAAAAATACTAGGTAAGGATTAATCAAATATCAACCAAATGTGAGATGAAATCAGACAGGAAATTTTCCCTTTGGTGTTTCACTTTTGGGAAAGATCTAGTCTGTCTAACTAGAACTTGGGCTCAGGGCACCAGCTGTAAATACACTATAGTGACAACACTGCAGCTCACACTCCTGTAAGCTGCTTTATCAGAAGGCAACAGCACTTAATTTAGCTCTTAATAAAAAGTGTCAGAAGATTAAGACCAAGCTGAAAATTTCTACCGCCATCCTGGGATTTAGAGGTTATTTTGAAATCATTAATACAGCCACTATTTGAACTCTTGATCGTCGAGTATTAAATTCATCCATAAGTACATAAATCATAAGACATAGGAAAGCAGGGCTACGCAGCACAGGCAGGCCTTTTAAACTTGCTTTTCTCATCTTTGCCAGCAGTTGTAATGTATTTTGTCATCTGCTGAACTGCATGAAGAAGCAGTGCTGTGGCCCTCCCTATGCAATTCTCTCTCTTCATGCACTGAATTCCCAGGTGACTTATTTCCCTCCCTATGGCTCCCTGGCTTGATTTGTACCACTCCTGAGCACAGAGGAGCAGGCCTGGCTTTGCCCCCTGCTCTTTGCAGCAAGCAGCTCTTTCTGAAGTACCTTTAGATGATCTGGATGATTCTTGACATGTTTGTAGTGTCCTCTAGTTGTGGTACCCTGGAAAATCAACTGAACAGTGTGCTGAAAGAGGGTGAGTTATGTTTCTTGGCTCAGTGTAGTTACGTACTTCCTCATTCCACGGGGGGGTTTGGGTGCATTATGTATCCCTGCATTGATGTTGGGCTGTGCATTAGGGGTGACAGGGCCATCAGGCACTCTCATCCTTCCTTCCTTTGCACTGGCAGCAGCAGACGAGGTGGTTCAAAGTGGCAGCATCAGTTCTACTCTGAGGTTTTTGTTGACCATCAGGCTTATTTTTTGTCATGCTGTGATCTTGCTCATTGTACATAGCTGTTGGATTTCTCCATCAAGATTGCATTCTGTATTTTATTATGCTGTTGTTGAGTCAGTGGCTATGAGTGCTTGTCCACACTGACACGGCAGAGCAGTTCTGACTTGCACACGTGATAGTAATAGGTTTAATGACCTGATCCTTGGGCTGTGGCGATAAAGAGGACAACTTTGTTTTACTTTTGAAACGAGTGGCTAATGAAAAATCACCCTCTAAATTCAGAAAGCTCAACTGCTTATTAAACTGTTTATTCAAAATACAGTCTATATTGGAAGTAGACAAGCCAGCACAGCTGTCAGGGAACTCTAACAGCAATTGTTTTGTTCTGGAAGTTCCTAACAAAAAGCAGTAGATCAGATGAAAGATTATGCTGATGAGCATGTTTAGTTGATGCTGCTTTCTGACAGCCGCAGCCTTTAAGACAATGGCCATGTTTTCTTCTAGAAACAGCTCATCAGAACAATGACCCTCACAACACAGATTCCCACAGAGAAATTAATGTTTTCCATTCCACTCTAGAGAGTACTTGGATAGAACTGTCACTCTACAGTATTATTCCACGGTTTCATACTCTTTTTTTTTTTTTTTTTTTTCCTTCACATAATATTTTTCTACCCTTAAAATAAGGATTCCTATGAAATCCCTGCTTGCCATTGCAGGAAACTGTTGTTTTGGGGTTTTTTTCCAAGCATCCCTTGCCACAGCGCTGACAGCTCAGGTTACATTAGGAGATCTCTTAGGAGGTGAAGTGGACTTAGTAATGCATCCGACTTTCATTACTCAGCCAGATTGTGGAGTCTATCAATTATCCCCACATTGACAGTGTAGTGAATTAATTGGCGCGTTTGACAAGGACAGCTATTACCCCGTGTTGTTCTGACAGCTGGGTTTGATATCAGAAATTTGTCAACCTTTGCCTCCACGTAAGCTGCTGGATGAACAGATCAGCCCAGGACATATCAAGATTTTTTTTTTTTTCCCTGTGCAATCTCAACATCTGGCGATAACCTAAACCCTAAATAAAATCACAGACATTCATAACATCCATAAGCAAACAGCCCACCAGACCTGGGCCATAAAACAACCCACTGTCCTGGCTGACAAAACGTTTGAGGAGTCAGAAAACTAATTTATTATCAGAAAAGTTAGCACCCTTCAGTAATGACTTTCCATGTGTCCTTCAGGTTCCATTCATACTTGCAGGGTGGGAGTATTTTCAGTTTCTCTGAGTTCAGAGGTGACAAGGCAGCTGATAACTTAAACTTCACCTCACTCAGGTGGCAGGATTTGGGTGGTAGCTCCGTGTAAGTTGGATCTGTGCTGTGCTCTAATTGCTGCTACCCCTGTTTGAGACAGCCAGCGCTGACAGTTTCTAATCTTCTGTCTTCTCCATGGCTACTCACAAGAGCTTCTCCCCTGCCTTTTCAGACCAGATTAGAGAATGACTCAGAACGTTAACAAAGAAAACAACACGCAGGAGTTGGCTGTGGCTCAGTGGCCTCACAGCGGCTGTCGGTCTCCATCCCTCCTTCCTCCAAAGGAAAACACGCGGCTGTTCTCCAGCTCTGCCTTGGTGACTGCCATGCCCCCATCTTTCCCCTCCAGCAGAATTGCCCCCGCAGGTAAAGGCAAACAGACTCACCCTGCAGCCTAAAGTATCTCAGGTGGGAGCACTTCGATGTGGAAATTCGTTAGGCCCAAGATACAGCACCGGTCATGCTTGGAGGTTAATTTGTAAACAATTAGTGTGTGTTAAAGCTATTAGAGAGACAGGGCTTACAGCAGCTCTGTAAAACAGCAAAGAAAAAACTTCTTATTCCCAGCTCAAGCAATCAAGCAGCAGCTAATTGGCTTTTTCAAGGCCATGTGGCAAACTGCACGCGTACCAGCAAAGGGAGCCAAATACTTCTGTGCAGTACTGCAGCCCCAAAGCAAGCATCTTTTCCTTGGAATAAAATGATTTCACTTTTTAAATAATAATCTGGAGAACAGGTTGTCAGCATCTGTTATCCAGATTATCCTGAGGATGAGGTCAGACACGAGTGGATGTTAATCTGGGCTCAAAAGCTGTCAAGGAGCAGCTGTGTCTGACAGACAGCACCCCAAAACCCCCATTGGCAGGGCTCCAGGGGCCACTGGTCCCATGGGTTGTAGGCCAGCACAGTCAACATGGAGCTCCCCAAGCTGGCAGGAGGCAAAACACTGAGTCCCAGTCTCAGCATTTTCCTCTGGAGAGCTAAGCATCTGTCTCCACATAGATTGCAGCTAGGCAGCCTTTCTCCTCTAACTGTATTTCCCTTTCTTGAGAAAGCAAAGAAGAGATCACCCCTCCTTCCACCAGCAGTCTGTGGGTTAACATGGCTCTTGGTGGAAGTTCAGCACAAGCCTGTATTGGAGTGCTCAGCTCTAAAGATCCCAGCTAACTCTGACCCAGCAGCATTTAGCTAGATTTATTGATAGACACCTAAGGAATTAAAGCATGGTGGCTCAGAGGCAGCTGAGCAGGGGGCTGAGGTCTCATTCCCTCCTAGGCAGTTAGGTGCTCAGCCTGTCATGCACTGCCCACCCTCCCACATTGCAGAGGCTTTAAATCTGTTTCCTGATATCCCACACTGCTCAGAGGGCCTGTAAAGGACTCAAGTTTTAAATACTGCCAAAATCGTGGTGTGGTGAAGTGTTACTGCCAGGAATAGCAGTTGGCTGAAAGCTTCAAAATGTTGAATGACCACATTATCATTAGATCTGGAAATTGCAGGTCTTTTCAAAAGATAGCAATGCAATTATTTATACCATACTAGTTTTGATAGCACGTGGTATAAAGACTCAGTCATTTGATGCTTGGTGAAAAGATACTTAAGAATGGCTTATGACTCTTTGGCAGGAAAATAGCTGTAATCGGTTCTGTTTTCTTTGACCAGGTTACATGTTGGTGGATCACAGGTTCGTTTAACCCAGTAGGCAGACACACAGTTAAAGCTGAACTTCTTCAGCAGCTACTCCAAGGAAAGTGAATGGTAAGAAGTCATGGTTGTGGCATGTTCAGAAAATGAGCAGTAGGTGATCTGGCAGGCTCAGTCCCACAGATCCTTGTAGGAAAACTTTACCTCATGCAAGTTAGTTCAACTCCCCAAGACAAGGGGCTGCTTGCATCTGCAAGAATTTCCAGTGCTGAGCTGCAGGGCATTTTTCTTTCCATTGGAACAAAAACTGTGATAGTGCCTCAGCCTCATACCATAAAAAAATGGACTGATGATTTTTTGTTCTGCATTTTGTCCCCCCAAAAATGAGAAGTGGAAAGATTGCAAGGGAAACAGGTTGCTTACTCTTTCTGCATCTGGCTGCTAGCTTGATATGAACTGTACACCAAGAGCTGGAAATGTCCCATGGGCAGAACATATCAGAATCTCCTGCAGGTATTATATGGCACATTTGGTGACATCACCTTTGAATTAAGTGGCAATTTTAAAGAGAATTAGATCAACAAGCAGAGAATGTTACAAAAATTAAAAGCAGTTTCATGGTGGAATGTTTACATTTTGGAGGCACTGCATTAAATTATGCAGCCATACATCAAATGAATTTTCAAGTCAGAGTGACCTCTGGTTAATGCATATTGAAATAATCCTAGTTTATGAAATATTTGTTGGTGCAAAAAAAACAAAAACGCGATACGCTTCGATTTTGCCTTTTAAAATCCTTACTATAGTATATTAAAAAATACAGCCTGGTAAGCATTCATTAGCTGCAAAAGAAGCACAGGGATGCATACAGTTATTGCAACAAACCAAAGTGTTAAATTACCTGAGCTAGAACAGCAGTAGTAGATTTCTTTCAGAAAAAAAAGGCTGCTCAAATAGACACAGGCTGTAAGATTACCTTTAAAATGTTTTACTGTGGACCTAAAATAGCTACCCAGCTTTAAAAAAAAAAAAAAAAAGAGAGAGAAGGGGAAGGAAAAAAAAGAGGGTGAGAAAGAGAACATAATTTCAAAACCCTTAGCTTATTTTTAATTTATAGTCCTTGGAAAAAAAATAAGTGGATAGCCCAATCATTTATATGCCTGGGCAAAAGCAATACATCTATATAAAAGTACAGTGATATATTTCTGTTGCTAGTTTAATGTGCTGCTCTGTGCCCTGCGTGTTCTGATTCATTGGAGAGCAGCAATCATGTCGACAGGAGCTGTTCTTCAGTTCCCATCAGCGACAACTAAAGGCCAATTCAAGGTTGTGGTGGGGTCATGAATCTAACACAGTCACTGATAGAACAATTTCCCTTCCACATGACACCGTCAGTGGGACACAGAGGGAATATACAGCCAGGACTGCAGCAGGTATGTCTTGTTATTCTCATCCCTCCTCTCCCCCCTTCCTTTTTTACTTTTAATTTTTGATGCTGGGCTCTGCTGTTAAAAAGCCTCTGGGGCATACACAGTCAGGAAATAAGAAGAGGGGAAACTTCTCAGCCTTTCAGAAACTAGCATCTTCCTGGCCTCTGTGCGGAGCAGCTCAGCAATATGAGCTCAGTTTGAGAGCCAGATCCACCCAAGACGATGCGCGCTGTACAACCATGCCAGCCTTTTAAATGAGGAGCTCTGCAAGCTCTGCAATGACTTCACTTCTGGTACTGTTCCTTTTGAATTAATAGAAAGGGCATTTTTATTTGGATTGAACCCCACCAGAGTCACTAGCCTTTCACAGCATGAAGCTTGGACCTGAATTTTGCCTGACACATTCTTTTCACAGTTCTGTAGCTTATCCTTCCAAGGACTTGGCACAAGCCTGGAACAAGCCCCAAGAAAGGAGCCAGCTCCTGCTATTGTTTCTGCCATACATGTCCCAGGGAGAGCAGATTTTGGACCAGATGAGTAATATTTCATTCTCATACCACTATTAGTCATGGTGGGTATACAGCATCTGACACGTTAACACAGTATAGCTGAGAGCTTTCAGTTAGAACCACAAATTCTGATCTCCAGCAGTGGGGCCCGCATTGAGGAGCATTTTTTATTGCACTGACAGAAACAGTGAACACAGTAAGCACCACCATTTTGAAAAGTTACTTCCAGTACCTAAAGTCTTAAGGCTATGCAGATTTCTGCCTTCCATGTTAAAAAAACCCAACATAACGAAACACAAAAAACAGACCTGTAAAATCATGGAATCATCGGATGGCTAAGGAGTTTTGTTCATTTAGTTCAAACACCCTGCTGTGTGTAGGGTTGCCATCCACTGGATCAGTCTGCCCAGGGCCCCATCCAACCCCTCCACTGTACTCCAGACAGGGCTTCATGAGAGCAGAGAGGGACAATCCCTTCTCTTTTCCTGCTGGCCACTGCCCTTTTGATGCAGCCCAGGATATCATTGGCCTTCCAAGCTGCAAGAGCATATCTCTGGCTCACCTCCAGCTTTCTGTCCATCAGGATCCCCACGTCCTTCTCCACCAGGCTGGTCTCAAAGTCTTCCTCTCACAGACTGTACTCAGATCTAGGATTGCTTCAACCCAAGTGCAACACCGTGCACTTGGCTTTGTTGAACCTCACTAGATTCTCATATGCCCATTTTTCAAGCCTGTCCAGGTCCCTCTGGATGCCATACTTTTCTTCTACTTTATCAACTGTACCACTCAGCTTTGTGTCATCAGCAGACTCAATCCCATGATTTATGTCGTTGACAAAGATGTAAGTATACCTATTCCAAGGTAGACCCCTAGGGGACACCACTCGTGACCAGCTTCACCTGGATATAGAACCATTGTCATCAACCCTCTGGCTACAACCACCCAACCAGTTCTTTATCCGCTCAATAGTCCATCCTTCAAGTCCATCTCTCTTCATTTTAGAGATAAAGATGTCAAAGGCCTTGTGCAAGTCCAGGTAGATGATGTCAGTTGTCCTTCCTTTGTCCACTGATGCTGTCCACCAGATTGGTCAGGCAGGATCTGCCATTGGTGAAGCAGTGCTGGCTGTCTCGGATCACCTCCTCATCTTGCATGCGCCTTAGCATCTCTTCCAGGCAGATAAGATCCATGATCTTCCCAGGAAAATGTGTCCATGTGTCTGTGGAGATTCAGACAACTTTCTCAGCCACAGAGACGGCCCCTTCAGGCTGGGACTCCCTGAAAATCTATTACAAATTCTGTCATTGTAATTCTGTAATCTATTAAATTCTATCATTATAATTCTATCAATTCTATCATTATAAAAATCTATTCTATAATTCTGTTACAAATTCCAGGATTCTGCAATTCTGTGAAAAACAAAACCGGGACAGCAGTGGTGGGCCTATGTCTGTGCAGGGCTTCGACACCCAGTGTGTCACACCCTTACCAGCTGCAACTACTGAAATCACTGTGTTCCTGGGAAACACTGAAACAAAATTAGCAAAAAGTTCAAAAAGCTCAGATCTAAAAATATAGCTGCGGTTCACAATTCCCTTTAATAGAACTTTATTCCTGCACTTGGTGTAACTGAAGGTATTTATAGACAGG